ATTAGAGTAAACAACAGATTGGTCTTAGTTGCTCTGGCATGACCTCTCTGCTGTTTCCTGACAGTCACTCACTGGGACAGACAGCTCAGACACTGTCTGAGTTTCAGCAACTGTGTTTCTTACACCTCTCAAAACAAACAGTTCACCTATAGCAGCTGAAACACAAGCAGTCACTGCAGCTGGGACACAAATTCTACGTAGACTATGTTGGAAGAAAAAAAACCCTGTCATAGAGAAATCTCCAAAGTCCTGCTTTGGATCATATACCTGAGGACAAGGCTTTTGTCTCATCAGAGGAAGGCTTGAAACACCCACTGTAAACAGGGAAAACACTGATGTCAACAGTCGCTGTGGACTTTCCACATTTTTTCTCAGTCTCCTTTACTCCAGACTGAATAGCCCCAGCTCCCTCAGCTGCTCCTCACAAAACTTACGCTCAGGACCCCCCCTATCACCTTTGTTGCCCTTCTCTGCACCCTCTCCAGCACCTCAATGTCCTTCTTACACTGTGGCAGCCCAAACTGCACACAGGACTCAAGGTGTGGTCTCACCAGTGCTAAGGACAGGGGGACAATCGGCTCTCTACTTCTGCTGGTCACACTATTCCTGATGCAGGCCAGGATGCCATGGGCTTTCCTGGCCACCTGGGCACACTGCTGGCTCATGTTCATCTGCCTGTCCATCAGCACGCCCAGGTCTCTTTCTGTCAAGCAGCTTCCCAGCCACTCTTCCCCCAGCATGTAGCATTGCCTGGGGTTGTTGTAGCCCAAGTGCAGGACTCGGCACCTGGCCTTGCTGAAGCCCAGATGGTTGGCCTCAGCCCATCGATCCAGCCGGTTCAGACAAATCCCTGAGGTTCCTACACTGATGTTTCTAGCCCTAGTCATCCTGAGGGGCCAGGCAGGCTTGTCCAAGGCAACCTCACAGTCATAAAACCTAAAGGAATTCCAGGCCAGTTAATCTCCTGCGTCTGACAGGAGCAGGAGGTGCGGCCCGTCGGAAGCGCCACGAGTCAGGTGTGTCACACCGCAACAGCTTCACAGCACAACTCGTGTCAGCAGTTAAGTGACAGTAACAGAGTCACCTGTCAGGTTGTGGCACTGGGAACCAAGCAGCACATGCATGCTGATGGCCCGTGACAGTAAGTGCACAGATACATCTTCATAAAGAGAATATAAATCAAGCTCCTGTCCAGGGCAGGCGCATGTCAAGCTGTAAGATGTGGAAGTTGATTCATTTAAATTACATTCTAACCCAGACAGAACCATAATCTGTCCTGAGCTATGTTAATGCATCAGGTATCCTGATCCATCTTTCAAAAGGTCCCAAGTACAAATATTTTTAATTTTTTTTATCATTACTAGCTCCGAATTAAAAACAAGCCCCCCAATTTTATTTAAGCTACATTTCTTCCATTTTTAAATGTAAATTGAGTTTAGAAAAAAAGTAAGTCTTTCACAAAACCAGCTATACCATGTTAGCAGCAAACGGCCTAATCTCAATGATAACTTCATACTTAGCAGGACTAAGCCAAACTGAAAGTGTTCAACTAATTTTTTTTCATCCCAGATAATATTTTCTTCATTTCCTGATGAAACTGGCTGTGAATATAAGTGTACTTGGGCAAAGAAAACTATGCAATTAGGCCCTTCTTCCACACATAAAAGTACAAGCACAAGCTAATTTACAAGTCTTTAGCTACGTTGTCTTGTAGGAATTTTTACACTACTCTGCTTCTAGAGCAAGGAAAATTAGTCTTCATTCTTGACTGACACTCCTGGTGTGGTTGCTGCAGGGGAGAGGAATTCAGCTGGGACCTGGCCACACTAACGTGCATGAGACTTCAAGGTATTTCTGCAGAAAAAAAATGTCATTTGATTCTACACACCTCATACCAAAGCTCAGATGCTGGGAGTGTCTAGGCACAACGATATGCACATACATGGTACCTGGGCAGGCAAATACCCTGTCTCTGAGCATGACCAAAATGGTGGCAGGTGTGCAATGCTCCTATGCTTCTTGGGAATTTGTTTCCAATGGTGCCTGACTTCAGCTGCTGCTCTTTTGTTTGACTATTGCATGTGATAGAGGAGAGAAAATGCCACAGAAGGAGCTATAATACAAAAATCGGCAACACCTGGCCGTGGTGATTGAAATCAATAGTATTGAAACAAAAGATGAGAAAATGTTGATTCTTTCATTATCTGGTTATCAACTATCAAGACAGATTGCCAGGGCATTTGGCAAACTTCACCTGCAGATGCTTTCACTCACCATCACAGATGTGATGCCCTGGCTGGGGGCATGGGAATTACCTCCTGAACAGGACCAAGATCTCTTGCCGGTCTCCAGACGGGGCCAGTACCAGATCCTTCAGCATGAAGTTCAGAAACTGCAAATAGGCAAGAATTGGGAGTAATCCCTCTTCCACAACATGACTCACTCTAGACGCAGAAAGGTAGGAATTTACTCCAGTTATCCCGTGGAATGCTGGGCACCCCTCCCAGCAGGATACCTAGGGCTCTTATGAACAGCAATAACCTTGGTATCTGCACAACCAATTCCTTTTGTTGCACTATTCTGCAACCTCAGCCTCAGGGACCCTTCAGGGCCACCAGCTCCTCAGATCAATCTCACAGTTTAATTCAATCCCAAATCATCAAACAGATGCAATTGCATAGTGACATTTGAGTCCCCATGCTGCCCAAGCAGGACAAGCAGACCCAGGATTCAGGTGCACAGCACAGGGCTGGCAGCAGCTGACAGCAAAACCTTCCCCTCCTTTTATTTCATTTTACCACCAAACTGAAGCACAACCCCAGCTCTGTCTGCTCTGTATGAACACACCCTGTGCAGAGTTGGAGCTGTAGCTCCTCACCTCCCACCACAGCCACATCTCCTGTGCTGGACATCATGGTTTGCACTGTAACTCACCTTGATGTTGAGGGCAATGACCACATGTTGTAGTTGTCATTTTTTGTTATTACACCAACTTCCCAACGCCTTTTTGAACACCATGCTTAACTGAGTTTATTGCTTCATTATTCAGAGAGAACCATTCCCCTCACACTGCAGCCCACAGAAAAAAATACATTAAGACCTGACAGTATTCTTATTAGCACTAGATCATTATTCCCCTTGTAGCTCTTTTACTCAAAGATTCAGTACAGGTCACCACTAAGAAAAGACTTAGGCCCCCAGTGTTACTGGGGAACACCAGATCAGGTTGGTTTTTTATACCATAAATAGTTCTAAAGTAGAAAGTAGGGCCAGAAGAACATCCCCAGGGCCAGAAATAAGTGAGACAATTTCCCCTTGCAATTCCAGCCGCCTTTTTTTTTTTTTTTTTTTTTTTAAATGCAGGAAGAGGACCATGCAACCCTGACCTTGCTTTGATGACACAGTATCATCTCAGAATCACAGTATTATTATGGTTGGAAAAGACCTCCAAGATCACTGAGTCCAACCATCCCGCCAGGAGGGAAAAAAAGCAAAACAAAAAAACCAAACACCCACTAAAGCATGTCCTGAAGTGCCACGTCTACATGGTTTTTTACTACCTCCAGGGGTGGTGATTCCACCACCTCCCTGGGCAAGCTCTTCAGTGCCTGACTACTCTTTTGGCAAATAAATTCTTCCCAATTTCCAGTCTAAACCTCCCCTGGTGCAATTTCAGGGCCATTTCCTCTAGTCCTGTCATTATTCACTTGGGAGAAGAGACTAACACCTGCCTCACTATCATCTCCTTTCAGGTAGCTGTAGAAAGTAATGAGGTCTCCTCTCAGCTTCCTCCAAAATAAACAATCCCAGCTCCCTCAGCCTCTCTTCATAGGACTTGTTCTCTAGACCCATCACCAGCTTGGCTGCTCTTCTCGACTTGCTCCAGCACCTCAATGTCCTTCCTGTAGTGAGGAGCCCATCGCTACTTGATGCTGCAGGAGAAATGCTGGATGGGTGGGATCCCGACCTGAGGAAGGAAACCTATCTCTAAATCCATCACTTTTGATGAAGCTGTAATATTCAAATCACTTTACAAAGCTGTGAATAGCAACACAGCAAGACAAGCATTGCCTTCTGCTTTGGTTAAAACCTCTTGTGTTCATCTGCTCTGAAGTAACCATGGGCTGAGAAGGACCACGCAGGTGCTTGTCTGGTAACATTTTTTTCTCTTCTTTCTAGTTATTGGAATAAGCAGCAGCACTTTGTTAAAATTAAGACCAAACATTCTCCAGATCTGCAATTATTCTCTCATTTTATACTTGCCTACAATATTTCCCTCACTAATCACTGCAGCCCAAAATATGCCAGAATCATTTGAAATCCAAGTCCAGCCTCAGACACACAGACTAATAATGAATCTTGTTTGCACACATTTAAATCAACATACCAGAAGCAATTTCCTCGCTCTCTCTAGCACTTTATTTGCTTATAAATACAAGTCAATACCACAAGATGGCACTTTCCCACTTGCAACAGACACTATTATAAACACTTACCCTCTTCAAATGTTCCCAGATGTTTACAACATGTAACTTCTCAGTGGTTTCAAAACATTTAAAAAAGCAAGACCTTCTACAAACTGCATTTGTGTTTGATGTATATTAAATGAGGTCAGGTAATTAAATTCAAAAAAAGAATTTATAAATATTTCAGATAAGAAAATTTAAATACAAAAGCAGAGTTTGTGTTAATTAAACTGAATAACAATTTAAACTGGCCATAATGTATCTACATGGTTTAATTTAATTTAAAATACTTTTTTAAACAATCAAATCCTTTAGCCATTCATCAAAACACCTATCTACTCAACTGTTTAAAAAATATTCTTGGTTAAGAAACCACCTATGCTTTTTCATAACAATCCTTATTCTGTCCTGTAGGTGGAAATGAAGCAAAATCATATTCCAGACTAGAAAACAGGATAAGAAGGAAGAAACTTTAAAAAAACCTGGTAAATTCAGACACTTCAACTCATTCTTCCTTGCGTTTCTCAAAATACATGATCCAGTTGTAAAGTCTTTGAACGAAATGTAAACACTAGAAAACTCATTGTTGAAATATGTGAAGAATAAAGAACGCTGCACTAATATAGTGCATAATGATGCTGTGTCAAACTTGTCATTTACAGTAAATGTCACATTTTCCTCAGGATTGTCATGCCTTTATTATTTTTGACTAATTCCTTTTGATGCTTGTAGATTCTCTTTTTTATTTTTATTCCCATTGGTCAACAGGAAGAGATGTATTTTCTGGTCTCTTCAGGCAAGTTTCACAAGATCCAAGTCTTTGATTCCATTTTCTTGTAACAAAGGTGGCAAAATTTTAAGCTCAGAATACTTCTGTTCTGCCTGGTATGTTACACATCAGGAGATTCCTCAAAAAACTGAGAAGTCAGGGAGTTCCAAGAAAGAAAGCAGTTAAGGCAGTTGATGTCTACATTTGGATTCCTTTTTAATGTTACATATCAATGTCTCCATCATAGGCTAAGGTTAGAGGCTTCTGCTGGGGAGGAGTGCTTTGATGCTGCTTGGTTTTTTTGCTGCAAGAAAAGAGATTCCAGGGAAAAGAAATTATAAACATAAAAGCACAGAAACATCATAAAAATGCAAACTTCAAGAGAAAATCAACTCTCCACACTGGCTATTTCCTTTTGCAATTCGGTGACTCTGGGGTACAGCAACTCTTTCCAAGCAAAACCATGTGGACCTGCTGGAGTGACCGTCAGGCACGTGGTGGGGACACAGCCCATCAACACGGGCAGCCAGCTCTGCTCTTCAGCTTGGCAGGATATCAAGCATATTTGTCTCCCATGTCTTCTCACAGCTGACAAAACAAGGAACACCTTGCATGAACCATCTCGGATGTGGGATATGCTCTTTTCTTCCTTTGGCACAGTATTGAAACTACAATAATTATTCCTGAGAAATACACTTCTTTGCCAGCCTTCGAGTGAGGGAGAACTATGTCATGTTACTTAAAAAATCCTCTCTATGCTCCACTGTGAAGCCACAAAGAAATGGCAGCTGCATTGCTTGGAAAATAAGGAAGCTCCAAGTCCTAAGCAGCAGCCAAACGGTGTTATTTAAGCTTTTAATTGAAGGGAGGGACTGAGAGAAAGAATAAGAGAGTGAGAAAGAAAACAGTACTTCTGGAAAGGGGCAATAATGCTGTCAGGCTGCAGCTGTGACTCTCTGCCTGCCCTCATCTGACAGAGCTTGGGGCAACTGCACCATTATTGTTCATAAAGCCCAGGCCAGCCCTGTGGTCCCCAGGGACAGCTGTGGGCACTGCAGGACACACAGATACTGGACATTGCTGCCTTCCTATCCTCCAAGATACATCCATAGCATCACCTTTCCAAATATTCCAACCAGAGAGCACAACCTGTCAAACCAGCCTGAACACTCCAGCAGGGGCCACTGCTGCTCTGGAGGGGGGCAGACACCTCCCCACCAGTAAAGCTCAACACCAGTGATGCACTGGTGTAGACCAGGGCTTTGGTAGGCCTGGCACCCCACTGTAGCAGTGGCTGGTAACAGCAGCTTTAGACACAGGACGTGTTTCCACCTGATGTATTCACTGCAAAAACCTATTTAGGGATTTCCTGAGCTGGAACATACATCCAGAAATCCACAATTAACACCAGGAGACCCCAGCTCCCAGGAACTGTTATGCCATCTTTGAATCCATTTATCTTCCTGGCATGCAGAGTCCCTGGCAGCTGTAAGCTCACAAGGTAATAATGCACTGTGTGAAAAATAAAATCCTTTGTTTATTTTAAACGATCATTTCATCAGATGCCTCCCACTTCTTACATTGTGGGAAATAAAAATTCCCTAGCGTCCTTTTCTACTTCATTCAGGATTTCATAGATCTGTATTGTATTCCCACATCAAACATCATTTTCCAACTGAATGCTCCTATTCTATTTAGTCCCTCCTTCAGCAAAAGCCAGCTCCTCGATCCAACCAGCCTCCTTGCCTTTTTTCAGTTTTACTTAACGTGTGTTTTTTTTTAAATAACACAATAAAAAGCCCTTTCTAATCCCAGCAGAGGTCGCAAGAAATGTAAGGGCCTACTGATAATCAAAAATAATTTCCCTTTATGGCACTTCTTCATGATTACACCAGATAGCATTTACAATTTAGAGACTTCTGAATTACTTTGAGGTAGGGGCCAAATGAAGGCAGTTAAGTAACCCAAGCTCCATCCTTTCATAAAGCCTTGAGGATTAAATCTCTGCAACACAAGAGGGCTGTGATATATGTTGGATTGTTTAAAAAGAAACAAACTAGCTTTTATTTAAGGACAAAATACATGCTATACTCACCACATCAGGTAGGATGTAAAAATTAGGAAAACTATGATGAGGAATCCACCAGCTGATACTCCATATACCCATAGCTTCAGTTTCCCATCTGTGGGAAATAAGGAAAAAGGACAGAAGGAGAAAAGAATTTAAAAAACTTTGTTCTGAAGAACACACATTCTTCAGAGATTAAAAGAAGAAAGGAAAGCACACAAGCAAAACTAGTAGCATCACTGATGGGAAATACAACAAGGGGAATAATCCAGAAAACTCGTAATTTAAATAGAAAAGAGATTCCTATAAAAATCAATTTTCAAGACAAAGTCTTAACTTTGGTAAGGAGTGTAGATTTTCCTCAGTGAGAACTGGAAATGAACTCAAGGTCTCTGCTCTCCACAGCAGCATTATTTCACAACCTCCCCCTGGCTGGGCTCCCCCAGCTCATCAAGGGCAGCCTGGGCTGAGGGTGCAGCACAAGAACAACTACCCAGCCCCTGGAAAGGAGCAGGAAATAATTGCAGTACAATTGCTCAGCAGCCCCCCTGGCTGCTCAGGCAAAGGCAGCTCAATGTTGAGGTGACCCAGACAGAAAGGCAGGTAACACCTGCTATGTTTAGCCTAAAGAAAAGAAAGCTGAAAAGGGATGGATTGTTCTCCACAAATACTTGGGGGTCAACTGAGATAAACACCAGCAGCTGAAAGGGAACAAGCTACTTAGAGCTGAAAAAAGGCTTGGGGAACACATGGGAACAAATGCAGCTTAGAATAAAACCAAGAATATCCTTTGTAATAGTTAAGAGGGATGAAGTTGTGCAAGAGCTTTCTGGCTGGGCCACAGGAGGCTTAATGGGGTGTAGGACAAGGTGAGGCCCTCAACAAGGCTGCTGGGGTGGCAAGAACTGCAGGCTCAGCCTGTGCCCCTGCAGGAAACTCTCTGTGTACGTCTTCTTGAGGGTGCTGAAACATTTCATACTGATAGGAAGTCTCAAAACACATTATTTGGACAACTTCTTAATTCCGAGCTCTGCATTAATAATAATAATACTATTTTTTAAAAGATCAGCAATTCTGGTTTTTTTTCTCCGTTCTGGCTGCACAGCTTTCCCTGTGGGGAGAAGCAATGGTGTTTTCCCAAGCAGCAGCAGCCTGAGCTGAGCCTCATCAGCAGAGCTGGTAACACCTACTGCAGGCAGGACTATGAACCTGCACCGTGCCCATGGACACAGTTTGCTGGAGGCCATTTCAAACTAAGCCATGACAGCAGGGAGTTACTTCAAAGGACAACCACAGAGCCATTTAAGTTATATCTGGATGACGATTTTTTTCAAAGGGAAACATATTGTATCAGATCCCATTCTTTCTGTTTTGTTTTTCTTCCAGGCTTTGTGGAAAGGCTGAGTAACTCCCACAAATTTTCTCCTCCAAACACTTACAGCCTATATCCCAGGTGGTATCTCCACTCGTCAGTATGGGTTGTTGTCTGGCTTTTCTGCTGAAGCCCAAGGTATGACATTCATTGCCCTCTCAACTGGAGATGGCCAAGAAACATTTAGCAGTCCTGCAAAGGGACTGTCACAGCCACAAAAAGGCATTCCCACCATGCCCGCTCTGAAGGCAGCTGTGCTCTCCATCAGCACAAAGGCATTGGACCGTGTCATCCTACAACTTACACAATGCTATTTAAATTGCTTCTCAACATGGAAAAAGTTTCTGTACCTGACCTCTGGCCTCCCAGAATGTGGTAAAGAAAGGAAAAACACAGCCTGACTCAAAATCAGTTCTGTGCACTCCTGCAGAGCCGTTGAAAGAACAAAAACATCAGCCTCATTAAATTGTAATAACATTTGTGTTCCAAACTGTAACTGGGAAGAGAAATCAGAGATTAACTGGAGAAAGGCACATGTATTTTTACTGACAGATATAGGTCCTCAGATGTACACAACTGTCAAGGACTATGGTACTGAAGGGTGGTAAATGCTGTCCATACAGGCAGCAGTCACCACAGACCTGCTCTCTTGAGTTGTAACTGGTAGGCAGCAGCAGTTTCCTGGCTCAGCTAGCAGTAATTATTGCAAACTCCCACACTAGTAAGCCTGAGAACGTGTTTAAAGGGATTTTTTCAGGAAGTTAAGACAAAAGGGAGTAATTTGAAGAGCATGAGCCTTGAGCTGGGGTCTGAAGGGCACGTACAGCCTGAAGAGTTACCCGCAGGATGCCATGGGGTTGGTGATACACTTAGCAGACATGGAGCACCTTTAATCCTTTCCATATATTGTTTCTGTAGCATTTCTGCCCTAAAATTAAATAACATCATGTGCTGTAAAAGCTCCCTAGTCCCTGGGGAAGAACTGGCTCACAGATACTGCACTGAGGTCAAGCCCACCAGAAGCTTTCCAGGCTGCAGTCTTGAACACTGATTTATAAAAAGAGAGGATTGCAGTCTTCCCCTCCACCTCTCTCCCTTTTTCTAAGCCCACAAAGGTACCAGCTGAAGAGTATGTTACATAGTACACCTATGTAAAGACAGCCTACGGAGGGGCACAGGTGCTGAAAAAAAGGCAATTAACCCCAAACCTGTGATTCAAACTGCTGGTGAACTGTGTAGGCTTCTGCATGCTGGGTTTGATCGAAAACCAGCCAGCTTGAAAAGGCTCTGGACCAAGCTCTATTAGCTCAGAGACTGTCAATGCAAAGGTTAACTACTGTATGCAAATCAAATATGTAAATGTAACATTCAAAGTGCGATCACATATATCAGACAGAATTACAGCTCCCTGAGTCCCATAACAGAACCTTTCGTTACATGTTTTCTGGAGTCTTGTGCTCATTACAAACTAATATGAAACAAATGCAATGTCAGGTAAAGGAAGAGGGGGAAGACCTTCAGTATTTTAGAAAATGGGGAGAAAAGAATGTGTTTCAGTAAACTTTGACACACCTGACACCTTCATCTGCCATTTTAAAGTTCTATTTGCTTTTATTTTGAATAATTAACCTTGCAAAATAACAGTCAATATGGTAATCAGCTCTTACAGCTACAGTACTAGTACTGGGGACCAGTCTGGGCACATCCAGCTGGTTCCAACTGGAAAGCATTTTATGATGTGGAAATCAAAGAACCGTATGGGATGTGCTCCTTAGACACAGCAGCTTGTCTGCTATTTGTGGTGTTTTCTTTTAATATCTTCAACAGTAAACCCCCATAACTCTAGAATTTCTACCCCGTGTTTTTCATATACTCTTTAAATATGGCAACAAACAACCAATGTCTTCTTTAATGAAATTTTAAGTACTTTCTTCTCATAATCTTCTGAAGCGCGTGATCAGTATCTTACCTGGTCCAAACATATTACTTCTGGAAACATAATCAGATAATAGTTCAAAGCACCCCCCCAAATCAGCTATGATATACCTTCTGCAAAATATTATTGCTTCTTTCTGTCTTTTCTATCTCTCAACATAAGAGGTTGTGATTACTCTGTATGGGCACAAAGGAATGAAAGCTGGAATGCAAGTCAGAAACTTTGAGGCTGCTCTGCAGCTCCCAGACACTATCTCTGATGATACGATCTAGAAAACTTGTGCCTTTCTTCTACAGAAACATTTTAAAGACAATTTATTCCATTCATATTTAAGTTTTTCACCTGGATTAAAAGGTTGAATAGACCATCCTTTGAAAATGTCATGCATTTTTGAGTTGACAGGTTTATTTTTTCCAGCAGTGGTCTTAACATCGGCTTTCTTATCTTCTAAACCTGGTACCTTCATGCAGTAATCCAGGAAACCGCTTGAGCTCATTATTTCTGTATATCCTCTCTCACAGCCACAGACTCCTCTCTAGGCAAATAAAAGGGAATTCAGTATTAAACCAAACAGCATCCTCTTGCAGAACACTGCAAACTGTAGGCAAACTAGAAATAAACAGCAAGATATACCCGTGACATTAAACCACCACCAAACCAAACAAGCCAGGAATTGGTGCCAGCAAATCCATTTCAGTTCAAGAACCGAAATATATTTGGGGAATTGGCTGAAAAAAAGAGTCAGTAATTACAGAGAAACCCAACACGGCACATTTTCCACCTAACAGGCTCAATAGCAGGCGTCTGTGGCTTGATCTAAACTCTTGTCAATAACAATTTTCCCACTGACCCTGCTGGGCATTAGAAGAGTCAAACAAGAAAGAAACAAACCCACTTCAGATCCAAACTCTCCCCATGAATTTCCATTCCAGTGTTTCACAGGGCTCTCTGAAATGAAGCTGTCTCTCCTACAGCCAAATAACCACTGCCCAGAATTAGTCTAAGCAGTTTCTTCAAGGGGTTTCTTAGAAGTCTATGATTCACTAAAGAGATACTCCATTTTCTTGACATCTACTTCAAAACAGCTTTTTTAGTTTGCTTTTCTTTGCTAATTATCTTGTAATTACAATGCCTGTCTGAGGGTCTGATGCACTCAGTTATGACCCAAACAGGCAATCAATTTACAGTCTCTTGTGTTAAGAATTTAACTCTTGACATCAGTTTTGTGACCACAACATCCCCACCCGTTGATAGACATAACCCTGAGCTTTTTTGGGTAACAGCTGAGGTCTCAAGAGTTCTTAGAGCTAATAAATTCATGCTTACCCATCCCTTTAATGTACCTGCAGGCTCTGAGCACTCTCACAACCACCCTCTCAGCCACATTCAGTTGCCCATGAGATACTTCCCAGTCGTAACTCCTCAGCTGAAGCTGAGAGCTGGGGAGGCTATTTTCAAAACATAAATTTCTAAACCCCAACTGCCCCTGGCTACTTTAAGGATTCTGGATTGTATACACCATCACAGCACTGACATGGACGAGGCATTTTGGGAAGCTCTGACTCTGGAGTTGGGTACTGCAGAAAGGGACACGTGTAAACTGTGGACTCATCTTGCTCAGCAGAAAAGAAGTGGCAGTGGCTCCACCATTCTTGCTCCATCTGCAAGTCCTGCAGATGCAAAAACGGTCACCCCCAGGTTTAGCTTGAGAACGGATGGTGGGATCATGCTACTACACCATCCCTGTGCTCATGGGGGCTCTTGGTCAGGAAGAAGCAAGAGAGGACATACTCCTATCTTCTCTCTAACAGAATTTTTAAGCAGTTCATTTTCTACAGGACAGTACAAAAACATTCAATGGAAATTAAGCAAGAGGTTCTGAAATCCCTGCTTGTACAAAGAACAAAACCAAGCTTGTAACAGCACATAAATACCCCATCACTCGTTGGTGCAGGTTTATGGTTTCCTTGCAGACTGAAATTCCCACGGCTTCCTCGAGGTGGTATCATGGACACACTAAACTATTTCTGGGTCTCGGAGTGCAGTTAAGACAGAGAAGCTAAGTGGATAGATTTTGCAGGGTTAATTTCTCAACCCCGTTCTGCAGCCAGCAGTTACCTGTGTGCAGTAGGAGAAGGGTTTGGTGCAGGCTGGGCTGCAGTGCCGAACCTCAGCAGGTTTCATCCCAGGAGCACATCCTCCTGCAACAGAGAACACTGAGTGCCTGCAAGGGCATGCTGGAAAATGCTTGTGCCTTGGACCACAAAAGTGCAAGAAGTGCTTGCTTGCTTATTTTATACAGTTAAATACTAGTCTATTGAGCACATTAGCATAGTATCTCTAGGCACTGCAGTAATTAATTTGCCTTAACAAGGCAGGGAATTATTATCATACCTATCTTGTTAATGGAGAACAGAGACATACAGATTTAAGCAATTTGCCACAGGCCACATAGGAAGTTGGGGACAGAATCAGGAATTAGATGCAGATCTTCTGTGTCCTCATTAAAGTCTTATCTACATAAAAAGACATAATCCACAGAATGTCTTTGCCCATCCTCACTTGGTGAAGTCTGTGCTTCTATAGGAATAAGAACATGTTAATGAGTTCTTAACTACTTGGCAACCTTTGCACATAAAACTTTTGTTATACTAACTAGTCTTTATAAACGGAACTAGATAAGAACATCTCCGTTTTCCTTTCTACTGTCGTCGTTCACCCTGTGCATACTGAGAGATCGTACAGATGTGCAAACCCTGCTGCCTTTGCCAAGCTCTCATGGAGCTTCAAAGTGCTGACCATGAACTTCCCTTTTCATCCTGCACAGGCAGAATTTTAAGGTCACAGCAACAG